TATTGATTCGATGAATGATCAAAAGAATGAAGAGAATGCGTTGCGTGAAAGGAAAATAGCAAAACGTATCAGATATTCACGCGACATTCCAAGATGGCAACGGAACACCAGTTCCTGTTAACGCCCGTCTGGAGTTTTTTTCGCTCTTGCCGCGCTATTTTTAGATCTAGACATGAGTTGTTGGGATTTCAACCGCTAAGTCAACGCTCCGCGTCCCGTGTAACAAACACTGGCCATACCATTTGTCGTATAGTTATTGATAGAGCGTGACGAGCGTACGCGCATTCCGTGCGATTCGCGGAATAATTTTGCGCCTTGACTAATGTCCACGGCCGCCCACGAAAACGAAGGGGAAGCCAAACGACCGAGTAAGGCGATCCTCATCCGGCTTAATGCCTTTAGGATTACACGCCTTTCACATAAAATACAGCGAGAAGACATCGTACATGATAATTGGATTAGGTATAGCATTATTAGATGTGAAGTTATTAATACTTTCGTGAGTCATTATTAACTGAATAATTAAACAGCTGAACTCGCGTCCAATCGGTGTATGAACCCACTAACTTCGGACCTATTGGAGGTAATTCATCGGGGCACATGAGTGGTATGAGAGGACTTGTATAGCTATATATAGAGATATATGGAGTCATCTGCGACCGATAAATTTATACCAATCACTACACAATCTAGGCTAGATATTCCATAAATTAATGATCAAATTTCAAGGTCACAGGGAACAGCCTAAACTTAGTTTAGAAGTAGTAATCATGTAAGACATGACACCATGACCATGACCATTTTGACCATGACACATTATCTTGCACTATCGGTATTGACACAATATCATCTACTGAGTTTTGTCTTTTTTTACATTGGAAATTAATAAAACACATAGTGTACAACAGAGTTTCCTTTTTTAACATTATATATCATTGATTGAAAGGAAATTATCTTAAATTCCGTTTTCTGGAAGATGTTTGAATCTCAAACGGAGACCTAGTTTCTCAGTATCTATAATAGAATTTGTTATTGAATTCTGAATTCTTACGAACTATGCCTCTGCGATAGTTTACAAGACTTCGTAGGAATGCAAAATCTGTTAATCCAAAGTAACTTCGTCTGGAGATCTCACCTTAAACTGGCGTTCCCGTTAGTCCCTTCTAGATAACCTAAAAGGAAAATATAGTTACTAAATGTAACCAACCTATGACACTCGATAACTTTATAGTCTTACAATGACACGAATGTAGAACGAAAAATTTTATACTAATGAAGATAATAAATGTGAACTATTTATCATTTCCAAACGTAAAATGTTACTAACTAGTAGTATCTACTATAAAAAAATTACAAATTTTTATAAAATGGTTTCGTAAGCTCCATCGACACAACATCAACAGTACCAAAGTTTTGCGCGTCAGTCGCAGGCTTCACTAATGATTCCATTTGAAAGGAGAAACCTTATCAGGAAGTAACACTTTAGAATTATATTAAACACCATACCAATCCTATTTTTTGACACAGCCTCACACATTTTAAAGCTAACTAGTAGAAAGGGACAGCTAGATTCTGCGCAGCTGCTAACAAAATTCAAACAAGTTAGTTAAGTCCAAAATCGTAACAGGTGCTAGGCTTGTTTCCGTTTACCGGACTCAAAGGCGACTGTCGCTTTTTGTGCGTATGAAAAACATAATACGTACAAGTTCTTGGTATGGGATTTGACTCGGTTGGTTAATCATACGAAACAGCAGTACAAATACGCCAGGTTCGGGGCCTACGCTCGTATTTCACTTCAGCCGAATATAATAAATATGGATCTAACGTTACAACCGTTTGGGTTATGGCGCCTGTTTAACGTCTTGTTCCTGGAAACTATTTTCGGATCTTAATTGTTGAAATGCGGTGCTTGAATAACCGTTGTTTCTCATGTGGATACGAATTTATGGAACATTATTTGTGTGAAGCAAAAGAAAGAATAAATAAAAACAAGATTTCTGCGCCTACAATTATGCGTTTGATAAATATCGACTCTCGAACGGTGGGTACAGTTTAAGAACATCCATGAATAGCTCCGTGATTGACAGCACTCAGCCAGTGACTTTGCAATATTCTTACGACGCGATAATTCGTATGAAAATCGACTTTTCGATTCTGTTCAACCGATCCCAATAAGTTGTGGATGCTAATTGTGTATTAATAAATTAAGACGAAAGCTTTAATCGCTGCTTACTCTGCTGGTTCTCGGGCACTTATCTATATTTTTTCAGGAATTTAAATATTCGGAAAAGCAGTTATTTTTAAATAATAACTGCTTTTCCAAATTAATTTAAGAAATATAGTCATGGACACTACCTAGGCTTTTTCAATTAGGATTGTCTTAATAACTCTCATGCGAGATTTATTCGCTATTTAAAATTTTAATATTAATAGTGCTAATCTAAGATAGAAATGGACGTAGTTTTTCTACAAATTAAATTTTTATATAATGGATATAATTTTTTTTTTTGCTTTTTGCCATTCTAAACATGATACATCTTCGGGGGAAACATTTTTGAATGATATTTTCATACACATAAATTATTTTAACAGCATTAAAATGATCATTTCTATCATGCTCATGTCAATTATGTATTTTGCGCGGGCTTCCTGTTTTTGCGAGATGAACAATATTTCAAAAACATATGCAGAAACCAAAGCCACATAACATACGTTTAACACTAAGAAAATGTCAAAGTAAACTAATTTAGGAATTGTTAGTTAACTGCTAATCATGTATATAAAAATGATAGCAGAAGTTAACAGTGAAAGTTGCAATTAAATAAACTAAATAATTAAAACGGTGAAACTGCTTGCTCGTTGCGTAGGGGGCGCGACCGCGAACTCATCCCACTCAACCAGATTAAGGACCTCCGATAGCTCCGAAACTAGTTAGGACCTACACTAATTGGACGTGACTTGAGCAGTTTAATTATTTAGCTAATAATGTCTCACGAAAGTAAGTTAAGTTTGTTATCTAATCATATAGATAAGTACAATTCTTGGCAGCGCAGTATCCAGATACTATATAGTTTATATCCAATGCCTGGACGCTCACTTATAATTTGATTTACCTTATTGACTGGATTACTCCGTGGCCCAGTTGCCAAGTTCTTGGCTTCGGAACTGGGGGCCGTGGGTTCGATTACCGCTGAGGACAACTTTTTGTACGACATGCAAATAATTGTTTCGAATCTGGGTGTTTGTCCACGTGATGTTATAGGCTTAGGCTTTTAAAAAAAAGACGAAGGCGAAAGATCTTATTACACTCCCCAAAGCCTTCTTCTAAGTGACATATATAAGTTGTAACTTCACGTGGCTTATTTTTCATGATAATTAACCAAATTGATTAAAAATTTGTTAATAATTGTTAAAAGAGTAACATTAGGTTATTAATAAAGGTAAGTAAAAGACGAACAATTTTGTTGGAACTAATTGTTGTGTATCTATTTGTGCTGGGAACTAATAACCGATCAATACTTCGAATAATTTGTCACAATAAATATCGGCTCGCTGGCTTGCGCACACGTCTTCACACCACTGTGGTCGGAGCTGAACTGGTGACCACTAGGGTACTACTACCCTCCACATATTGTTGCCCCGCGCGTACGCAGCCGGAGACGACAGTTAACATATATACTTATTTATTTATAATTAATGTATATCTATTTAAGTATACATACTATTTCTGCATATATACTACACTTATTAAATTATGTCTATTTATGTATGTATGTGATTTTTGCATATACACTACACTAATGATTGTAACAAGTTGGCCGTATGGCTCGATGTTATCGCATCTATTACCTGTGCACTAAGTGCATCAAAACACAGAAAACTCTCGAACTTGTGGAGCGATAAAGGAATACTCCGCAGCGTTTACTGCGCAGTTATGAGGCGGAATGCATTCGCCAAACAAAAACACCGACGCGTCAAAACACGGGCTCACAGCAGCTATCTTATTGATACAAGTTCTATAGAATCGGCCGACAGCCTATTGACATAGTGGCACTATCAGGCCGCGGGTATCCGAGACGACGATAAGAAACGCTGCTCGACAGACTGGACACTTAGGCCTCGAGCGCCTGACAAAGCATTTCTCATGTTGCGGGCAGGTGCGCCAAGCAACAGGAAGGCGCATTCGAATGCGCCGGCCTAACCCAATTACCATATCCCGCGGTCCGTGCATTGCCTAAAGCCAAAGCCGATTTACACATCCGAAGCGTTTCAGTCCATCTGAGACTACGGAACCAAATGAGGGCATTGTGCAACGATTCAATAAAACGTACACAGAAAATAATACAGATGATAATAATCTTTTTTCTAAGCTAACCAATGCAGCAACAATTGTAATAAACTCAATACAACTTAGGGGACTGGCTTATGACGGTTGAAGTGAGTATTTAATTAAGAAATCCATGACTACTATCCATGTTTACATTTATTTCTGATGAGATGAAGTATCAATCAATTTTACAAAAAAACATAATTATATTTCAGAATCAATTGTTCTGAGACAGATTAAAACATAACGAAAATATTATATAAACAACATCATGTTACTTAAAATTTGTAGACTCAAATCTAATTAATATGTAATATATAATGGATATTAATTTTATTAAAAAAATTCTCCGCTGCTAGAAACTCATTAAGGGTTAATAACCAATAAATAATCTATTACAACGCATTAAATGTAGAAAAAACATGTCGCTTATTAAATGTACCACCCAATTTACAATAATTACAAGCCTATTAGGTCTTTAGAAACGAATAAATCAAATAACTTTTTCTCTTCCAATTAAGTTTAATAGTTTTCGGCCTATCTGTAGTTAATTAGATACGAAACCTGCTCGAAATTATACCTGCTTTACCCTCAACCCTTTAAAGTTCGATCCCAATTAAAATACGATAAAGACAATAAATTCAAAAGATGCAACACGACAAGCAAAACTCACCAGATTTACCGCAACGCGCGCTGCCTAGCACCACCACTCTTATTCGATTCACCGTCATCTTCATTGGTCCAACGTCCACTGTACACTTGTGAAAACGGCCGATGTATAGTATAAAACTGACAGTATGAATTAAATGTGACGCGTAAATCAATAGCGCTTGCGCCAAAACTAGCCGTTGGAGGGTGGCAGACACGCGCGCGCAACGCACGTGCTAGCGAGCGACTGCAGTGTCAAACAAAATTGGCGCAAGCCACTCAACTCGCCTAATGGAGTGAGAAGTATTTGAATTTCGGACCTATCTAGATTTTGCGTTGAAAGGCTACGATCGGCGCTGCCGAGTTTTAAAGCCGCGGAAGACTTGACGGTGGTCTTTAAAGAAACCAGTGTCGAAATGAAGAAAAGTAATTGCATATGCCCAAAGGTGGCAGGAAAGGAAGAGAGTTGATTGACGACTTTCCCAGCGTTTGTTACTTCGGCAATCGTGTAAAAACGGATTGGGTGGTTTTGGACCAACTCAACGGGTAAATCAAGGTGTACGTACAAGGTTAAGAACATAAAGTCTATAGATGATACCAATGTTTAAAAGAAGTTTCCTTCGAAATAAATACATTTAAACACATTTGTCATTAACCATCAAATGAAAATTTTTCTAACTAATAAATTTGAAAGTTCGCCCTAAATATGGCGGAATGTAGATATTTAGTTAGAATGTACTTTTATTTATATGATTAAAAAAAGAGATAGAATAAGATCATTAAGCTACTATTTACATAAAGCTTTATTGACATGTTGTTTTATACTAATCCTATGATAACATCATTTTATCATCACGAACTATTAAGTGCTTCACTACATCTCTCAGTTTCGGTTCCATCAGCGAATAATACGGTCACATAGTGACCTAATCTGTTAAGATTAGTGTATCTGTAAAATATTCTATACACATAAAAAGTCTATTCACATGGTTAATGTGATCAAACGCTCAAAGCTAACCCAGTAATTGACTTGATGTTTTTGTGAACGTGTTAGTTATTATTACTCTATAACATTATTAATTTTATGAGATAAAAAAATATTTTAATAAAAACATGAAATTACATACTTACGCCCGGTTTCTGAAACACTGATCATCGTAGATGTCAACTAATAAGCTGTCAAATGGATTTCAAATTACAATTTAGGTACCAAAAGGATGGTTAAATTCTCTGAATGGACCAGAATGATCTTCTTTATGACCAGAATGATCAATTCAAAGAGTTTTAGAAACCGGGCGTTAAACATGCAAATAGTAATTTTTTTAACTTATCTTGTTTCTATTAATTTTTTCTTAATCTTCTCTTATAACTACTGAATCGCGCTAGGTAATTAAATTTACATAAAAAAGAACTAAAACAATATACTTTTTAATAACTGATACAAGGCATTTATCAAGAATCACTGAGTTAACTAGTTTTTCGCAAAAGTGTAATGAAGCAGACATGTCTCGTATAGACTATTATAAATAACTTATCAATCGAAAAAAAAAATGTTCTAACAAACTTGTGCTTTGAAACCTGACATGTTGGTATGTCAAGTTGTAAAGGCATGAAAAAAAATTAAAGCTTCAGCAAATGACAATAACAAGTTTATAATCAGCCGTTCCTCGTAACATAAGGTGAGTAGTAAAATTTTACTCTCGTGAATGGGAAGGACAAGAAGGGAAATTAAAACGTATGTAAAAAAATAACCATTTATTTTTTAATAGACATATTGAAATTCTCAAGAATTAAATACAAAATACATATATATACATATCAAAAAAACATATTTCTTGAAATATTTAGTTTTAATTGATTTAATAAAATATAGAATTCATAAGAACATGGGTCGAGAGCTCTCTTTCTAGCCTACTAAAAGGCAAAAAAAGTTTAACTTTTGTTTGCATTTAATGAAATGTCGATGCTAACGGGTCTGCCATACTATCCAACGAAGAATTTTAACAAGCTCTTTGTTAACAGTTCGTAATCTTGTCTCGCTGATCATACGTCGACTTCTGGTAAAAACTAGACAACTAAAAAACGACATTAAGGATTAAGAGAATGGAAGAGGATAAACTGCCGTATACCAAGTTAACGCACAATTAATTTTTGGTAATACAATTCATGAATTGCATAATTTCGGAGTCCGCCAATCCGCAGTGGGGCCGCGGGGTGGACTATGCCCTGATACCCTCTGTATAGAGGAGGCCTTTGCCCAGCAGTGGGACATGAATGGGCTGTTACTTTACTTAGTTTCGGAAGCAAAGTAAATCTCTAAACTAACCAATTCCAATTCCAAAATATACCTACATTTTAAGATGTCGACAGAACGTTGCTCGAAAATATAAAAAAATCATCCAAATAAAAATGAAAGTACCCACAGCGCAGACAACACCTGTGGAGATTGTAGGTCTTCTTGCGGTTGCCTTCCCCTTCTCGTTGCGTCCCACCCGCATTCGATACCTCTGCGCCCTATACTGTGTTTCATGAGAATGGATTATAAAGTAATCTTAATACTCATGCATATATCTTGACTATTATCAATATTAAATACGAGAAAACACAAACATGATTTAACCGATTTATAAAATAGATTTAATTGAAAAAAAAATATGTTAGTCTACTTTTAAATGATTTTCTTTATGTTAGATGATTGTATGTATTGTTTTAGTACATTATATTCATAAAACTTTATTAACCGCACCTATTATATATTTTTGTAATGAATGCGTAGCTATCTATTTTTTAATTCGAAAACTATTGAGTGAATTACGTTCCGTTCTTAGTTTAATACTTATAGTAATAGTACACACTAATGTAATTCTTTTACGTAAAAAAATCTTTAATTCTTTTTGGAATAATTTAAGTAGTATGTAATCCTTTGGTTCATTGACTCTGCGATAATGATTATCAAGAGGATTGAAACTAAAACGTTTGTTCATACAAAAAATCAGTTCTCTATTTTTTTTTTTTTTTTTCAATTTAACATAAATGTTGTTGACCTTTTAGTCTTAACCTAAGCCATAGAGACAAAAACATTGTAACTGATTTTAAGTTGACACAGGATTGAAAAGCCGAATTGTCGTTACCCGTTATAGCTTTTAAGACCTCTTATGGTAGATCAAAATCAGAAGGAAATTGGATCTTTGCAATCTACTTCACTGATTAAGTATTTTTTATTTTTTATTTTACAACAACCGTTACTAAGCTACCGTGAGACTTGTTTGACCTATTGGCAATTCATCCTCATAACCTTTTTATTTAAACGTATATTATTGCTACCAACCCATCTATGATCTGAAGTATTACTCAGTCATGAACATACCCAGTACCAATGCTAAATTCCCTTGTCAGTGTGTGCCACATCCTACATTTTAAATCAATATTATTATACGACACATACAAATTGCTACAATGTAATCTTAACTCAAAAGGTATTTACTTATTTTAAGCATCATGTTATTGATTACATCGTTTTGTATAAATTTATATCTAGTATACTTTTATTTCATAGTTATATTATACACTGATTCACTTTTAAATAGATAATTAAAAAAAAAATTTATAAGCCACCTTGATTTCTCTAGACCCATCTCTGAGGCCAGAGTGGTAGATAATGAATGCTACGGTCATTCCGAAAACAAGAAATAAATAGATGTTATATTTATATACAATTAACCTTACACGACCCAACAAGCGACATCAGTATCATATGAAGCGTTTTACCGGATTCATCGGCGGCGACGGGCGTGACTGAGGAATCTACCGCGGCTCCTGTTACAAGACCTACAAGGATATTATTCGGTAGCCAACCGATCTTACGAGTAAAAAAGATTCACCGCAAAGCAACGCTTTGAGTGTGTTCAGAGTGACGGGTAATTTGAAGACGGGATTTTGTGATACAAAAAAAAGTGTTTAAGCCCACTGTCAAAGTTTCATAATTTCAAACATGCAATTTGCGTTTTACCAGTCACTTCGTGCGTACGTGTTTGGAACTGGACTAATTTACTTTTTAATATCACAGGACGTGCACACATTTAAAAAATTCTAAGGCAGCGTACACATACTATTTATTTAAAGTATCGTTTAAGCCATTATTCAATACATCGTTATACACATTAATTAGTAAACATGTAGCTTTAAAAAGGATTCAAATAACATCTCATTTTTGTTAAGCCAAAGAAAATCGACATGTATTATATAATTTAAACGTCCCTATTATTTTTATAATCTAACGAGTTGGCCTCAATTTTGGAGACAAAATATTTTTTATCGTATTTGACTAATCAATTGATTCTTTGTAAACAATCTGGCATATTTATCCCAAAATCAGTTCGTACACTTTGGCAACACAACAGAATTTATTTCAAATATAATCTGCCTATACTCGTAACACATGGCGATATGAAATAAGGAATGGTTGTTTGCGTCATCACTTGTTTAACATCTACAAAATATTGAATAGTTTTTAAGTATAAGACAATACCAAATACATAACCTACGCGTACTAAAATGAACGTTTCGTTCATAATTTATGTGCTCGTTTAACATTCGTTCGATTGGGTTAAAACCTTGATGAATTTTTGTTGGTACGCACGCAAAGGTTTCTGAGATGCAACATAACACGAAACTCAAAGATTACGGAAACTGCAAGGCATATTGGGCATTAGCTGTTATGCAATAAATATCTCTTTTCTCTTTCCTAACGAAAAGGCAATATACCTTTGCAGGTGTAAAACTTTCACGTATTTTTTTTCTCCTTAATTACTTCTGTCTGCGAAATTAAGGTCTACTGGGGAAAATAAAAAAATATATTAAAGTAGTCCTTTGTGACCGACTTGCCCCAATTTCAGTGTCGAGTTTTTTTGCGGTGTGGTCATCGCAGACGCATTTATCTCCATCAGTCCATCGTGAACTAAATTATACATAAAAAGAGTCAGACTGTTGTCCAAACGGCGAGTGTTCCGTAAAAAGATCCAAAACCCATGGCAGAATTTATTTTTCACATTCTTCTCTATGACCTGCATAAACATTGTTCTCA